AAAATCCCCCCCCCCCCCGAATCCTCATCTGAATGTAGATTCCCAGTGATGCTCCATGGAAGGCACCCCTTGCAGAAGAGTGGGACCACATGACAATGAAGGAGCTGCTAGACAAGATCTGCTGGACTGAGTAAGACTTTCCATTAGACACAGGAATTTATTGTGACTGTCATTCAGGTTAATTTAGAATCCTATTGAACACGAATGCGACAAGTACCTACTTTGTGTCTAAAACCATGCCATTTGGCCAGGTGGAATGCTGAAAAATATTGAAAATGGGTTCTGCCCTAAAGTTGTCAGAGTTTTGCACCACCAACCTGGTAATTATCCCATAAAATACCCAGAACAGACCAGAATGTGCCACCTCCTTTACTCAGAACAGCTTAAAGACCATTAGCTTAAAGATTATCAAGTTGTTGATGTAGGAATACTTTTGTGTTTCTCACTTGTGGTCAAGTGTAGAGATGGTGCATTAACATATGTGTTTAAAACACCTTATGGGTGCAATTCTTCAAGGATTTGAAAAGAACTTCTAGAGAATGTCTGTATAGTTTACAACTGTAGAGGAAACATGTATTACTGGATTGACTGCTTTTATTAAATGAAAAGCATGTAGTGTTGAAAGCAACTATTCATGAGCCAAGCTTTAAATTCTGGTTGGCAGTGCTGGGGACTATATATGAACTATGAAGTCTATCTATATAGACACCTGAAGACACTCACTGCTCTTGAACAGCAAGGAAAATGGAAAGGGTGATAAGTTCATAGGCCTGGTGAATTTGTGGTAAATGAAGGAAGAAAAATGGAAGCTAAGTTCAAGGAGACTGTCCTTCCATGCTTCTTGGAATTTAGCTTCAAGAAAGAGAGAGAAAAGAAGACAGAGAGAAAGGCATACAGGGAGGGAAGAAGGGAGAGAAAGGGGGATTCAAATCATTATTTTTAAAAGATAAAATGTAAATGTCTAATAATAGAAAATTGCTTTAATTATGGACATCTAAAAATATAATACTCTACAGTCTTTAAATTATGTTGTAAAATAATATTTAATGGCTTGAAAAATATCATAATATTAAACATAGAAAATCACAGTGTCATTGAGTATATACAATAAATATACTAGAGGCCTGGTGCATGAAATTCATGCACTGGGAGAGGGGGTCCCTTAGACTGGCCTGTGCCCCACAGCCCCGCAGGAGCCCTCAGGCCTAAGCCAGCAGTCGGACATCCTTAGTGCTGCTACGGAGGCGGGAGAGGCTCCCGCCACCGCCACTGCACTCGCCAGCCATGAGCCCGGCTTCTGGCACTGACCACCAGGGGGCAGCTCCTGCATTGAGCATCTGCCCCCTGGTGGTCAGTGCACATCATAGTGACTGGTCATTCTGCTGTTTGGTCAATTTGCATATTAGTCTATTATATAGGATGTTCTTGTTTCTAAAAAAGAAATTGTATGTGAACTGAAAAGCAATAGGCATCCATCAAAATGTTTTAACACAATATTACAATATAAACTTTTATCCACATATTTAAAAATGCTTCATCAAACATCATATTTCATGGTTGTATAATATTCCATGGAAAGGGAATACCATAATGTAATGTATTTCTCTATTATCACCCTGTTGGGCATTTTGGTTACTTCTAGTTTTTAGTTACTATTATTAACATATAATTACCTGTGAAAACAATCTCTGTGCTTCTCCTGTCTTTAACCTTTGAAAGCAACCAATTCTGGAATAGTAAAAACCTTTTATTGTCATGAAGTCAACATCTATTATTAATTATAATCTTTTAAACACTTATCTAATGCTATTTACCACTTTTTTGAGATTTTAATTTGTAATATAATTTATTTTGATTGTAATGAAATTGCAGAATTTATTTTAAATTATATACACTAGATTTTCAAAATATTAATATTAAACATAGAAAATCAGGTATTTAATTACCTGCATTCATTTTATAACTGGTTGGCAGTGCTGGGGACTATATATGTTATGAAAAGCTTTGAATAAATTCATTTAAGTCTTTTCTCCCCAGAGAGCTTCAAAACTCTTTGAAGATCAGTTTAATTGTGTACCTTTGGGATCATAGAGATCTGACTTTTTCTATCATAGTCCTTGGCCTAGTCCTTCCTTTAGTGAAATTCTAGGTTGTTAGCTGGCTGACAAAATAAAGCATGCCTAGATATTAGGAATATATGAAAACAAGGTAATTTTCTAACTTTTCCTAATCAAAATATAAAAGATAAATATTTTCTGGTTTTAAAAGCACAATCATATATTCAAAGAACAATGTTGTTCATTCTTAGAACTTATTATTTGTAAAATGCTTTTTGGAAACACATATTAAATTTGCAATGTGATCAGCTATGTAAATAACCTTTTTAAAACCTATAACTAGAAAAAAAATGCATCAGACTGAGACTAGTGATTGTCTTTACGGAAGCAGAAACGTGGGAGATACTCATTCTCTTATTTTTTTATTCTGTGAATTTTCCAAATTTTATATGTGCATACATTTTTCATGCAGAAAATATAATAACATTTATCTTTTAAAAAGTCAACAGGACAAAGAATCAAAAATTATTGCACTAGCTTTCTTGACCTTCTATTCCTCAAATATTGTTCTTCTCATTTCTTTTCTCACTAAAGCTTCCAGAGTAAATCAAATAAAGGATTAGAAATAGCCTGGCCCTCCAGAAAGAATTACTTTTAGATCTCTCTCCATTTCAAACCAGGATTACTTTTTCTTACCAAATTGTCAGCAATAACAACTGCAATCATAGCAATGCTTTTATGTTTAATATTGGCTGTCTAGCTACCCCAATATTGTTTTAGTTATTTATTATTCCCTTTACCTTATGCCACCTCGATTCACCTATAAAACAAGGAATACAAGAAACAGGACATCAGGAAACAGCAAAGGATGTTTTCACTTTGAAAATTTTAAACCAATATTTGGATATTTGCTTTAGATAGATGCCACAAATTGCCTCTGCAAAGAAACCACAAGTCAGCAATTTCCATCCCTCCAGTTATCATGAGAATTTTACAAAACTAACTCTAAGTTACTTCAACATATGTATTATACTATTTGCTGACTAAATGATGGGGAACTTCACAAAAGTTCTGTCAGATTTTTATGGCTGCAAACATTGTCAGTAACTAGTATATGTGTCATGTGCGATTCTACAAATCTCCAAAGTAAAGGTACACTAGAATAGAGAGATGCCTCTTGGTGAGTCAACTTGACAGTTGACTAATTATAAAGCATTCTGAGGTATTAAAATAATGAGGTTTGAATCAGGCATGATGTGGTTTGAAGTTGTACCATTTTGTGAGTTGTGTACTACATATTACTAACCTCTCTGAGACTGTTTTGAACTTATGAACTGGGGGAAAATAGTAAAAAAATATTAAAAAATAACTATTTTATAATATGACAATTCAATAAGACAATGGGTTTAAAAATCATGGAGTGTGAAAAAGTTCAATAAATAGAACACAGTATTATTTATTCCACCCATAGTCAACAGCACAACCAGGTGGCAAATTCTGAGTTGGACATAACCAGATTAACAAAACACAAAGTTTATGTAAAAGTCAAAAGGAAGATTGGTCCTTATTTAAAGATCTCAAAGTACATATTACTGGTGAATTTTCAGGTGTGTTAGATATATCTCAGTCATTAGAATCATATGAAACCATTCACTTTCTGGTATGCCTTCAGATAGGATATAACCTCTTGCCATTTACCTGACAATTCCAAGCAAAAGTTCACCAATCTACATGCTATTAATTGATTTTTCCCCTCATCCATTCTTTGAGCTTGTCTTCCATTAGGCAGTATAATGAATGGATAACTATGACTAATTCTGTGTTTGGTACAGAACCTAGTATATTCTTTGTGCATTATAGATAATTTTAAAATAAAGTTTAGTTGATATTTCTCATCAACCATTCATTCAGCCATCCAACAAGTAATTATTGAGAAGTTACTATGTTCCAGGTACTTTTATTAAAGGGGATACTATGGTGAGCAAGAAAGTTAAGATCTATATTATCGTTGGTGATATTCTAGAGGGGGAGACAGCAATAAAAATAATAAAATAACAATTAAGATAATTTAAGACAATGAAAAGAGTTCTAAAGATAACTATACTATAGTAAAATGATAGAGGATGCCAGGGTGCTGGGAATATGGAAGTTAATGCTCATTTTCATAGACACATAAGAGTTCTTCTTTCTGAGGAGACATTAGAATAAGTAGAGAGGGCACAGGAAACAAATAGAGAAGGTAGGCATGGGCTACATCACTTAGGATTTTGGAGGCCACAGTAAAAGATCTGCATCTTATTCTGATTATGATCAGATGCCACTGGAGGGTTATAAGCAAGGGAATATCATGACTTGACTTACACTTTTGAAAGAGCACTGTGGATGGGAGGGAGGCATAAAGCGTCTGGCTTCAAGTGTAATGAGTAGATTGGGTGTAGATCATTTCAATGCCCCTGGCAAGAAATTATGCTAAATTGATTGTGAGGAAGGTGGAGTAATGTGGTGAAAGACAATAAGAATTTCAGATGGATTAGATGAGGGGCGAGTGATGGAAAGAGAGAAATTAAGGTTGATTTCTAGAGTGTTGGCCTTAGCAATTGGGTGAAAGGTGATGCCTTCTACTGAGATGGGCATCACTGGAAGCATAGCAACTGTGGGCAGAAATCATGACAGCACAGAATATGGAATACAAGCTGATTCTGTGTAAGGTATTTTGGTTAAGGGGAAAGTAAATCTCATATTCCCCAAATGTCTGATGTCATCTATCTATCTATCTATCTATCTATCTATCTATCTATCTAAAAGTGTAATATGCAAATCGACCGGATGGTGGAACGACCAGTCACTATAATGCGCACTGACCACCAGGGGGCAGACGCTCAACACAGGAGCTGCCCCCAGCCCGCAGGCCCCCATCACCTAATCCGGGCCTGGGGGCCATCCTCTTGGTCCCTCCCCGCCACCGGCAGGCTCCGATCGTCTGATGGGGAATGGAGAACCGGGGGTGAGTGGCAGTAGATGTGGGCAGTGCCAGGCCAAGGCGGGTGCGAGCAAGCAGGGCCCTGATATCCCTACCGGTCTCCTCACACACATAGAGTGACTGGCAGCGGTGGGTGGGGCCGGAAAGCAGGCGGGAACGTCCAACCTCTCCATCCCTCCCCCTTGCTGGCAGGCTCCAATCACCCAATGGGGAATGGGGAACCAGGGGTGGGTGGTGGCAGACACAGGTGGCACCAGACCAAGGCGGGTGCAAGCAAGCAGGGCCCTGATCACCCCGCTGGTCGCCCCACACACAGAGGGCGACCAGTGGCATCTGCGGCAGGGGGCGGGGCTGGCTGCCGGCAACCAGGGAGATCGGACATGATTGCAGGCTAAGCCTAGGGACCCTACCCGTGTACAAATTTCGTGCACCAGGCCTCTAGTATTTATTAATACAGGATTCTAGTGACAATTTTCTGTGACTTGCTAAGTTGTGCCAAACTTAGCCAAATAAATATATTGCTTGAATAATTTCCAGAGAATTAAGTTGATGCTCTTTTGCATTTGCTAATTTTTCTCTTGTTTCTTCCTGAGTAGATCTGCAAAGAAGCTCGCTACTCTCTTTGTGAACCTGTGCGTCACTGCAGAGACCCATGAGGTCTCTGCTCTGTGGTTCCTATGGTATGTGAAGCAGTGTGGAGGCACGGTCAGGATCATCTCAACAACCAATGGAGGGCAGGTACCTATCCATACCTCCACCATTTCAACAGAAAATCACCACTGCCTAAAATGAAAGACTGACATCACCCTTCAGTCATGAATGGATGGGATGAATCAGGAGGCAGTCTTGTGGCTCTCAGAACTATATCACAGCAGCTCAAGGTGACTTTTGTGAGGGACAGTCTGTTAGGTACCCAATGTAAGAACCCAGCAGCCAATGTAATTTTAAGATTAGGCTTCTCAGCCTGGCTGGTGTAGCTCAGTGGTTGAGCTTTGACCTATGAACCAGGAGGTCACAGTTCAGTTCCCGATCAGGACACATGCCCAGGTTGCAGGCTCCATCCCCCATGTGGGGCATGCAGGAGGCAGCCAATTAATGATTCTTTCTCATCATTATATTCCTATCTCTCTATTTCTCTCCCTTCTTATCTGAAATCAATAAAATATATTTTTAAAAGGATTAAGCTTCTCTCTTTTATATACTTATAGGAGGACATCTGATGAACATGATGAGCACTTCTTGGTAAATTCAACAAGGAAAGTCAGAAATGCATTTCAACTTAAAACACACACATGTGGAATTAATTAATTCATTCATTGCCTATTTCCTGAGCCCCAGCATTGTAAAAGGCACTGTGTTAGGTATAGCAAGAAGTAGATTAGAATTCTTATATAATCTGCTTGGTAGTCATTTTTCTTTTCTTCTTTTTCCTCACCCTCTTCCTCCTCTTCATTTTCCCTCTTCTTTCTCCTTTCCTCCTTCTGTTCTTCCTAAGCTTATTTGAAATAGTCTTTTTAAAAATTAACTGAGCCCAGCTGGTATGGCTCAGTGGTTGAGCATCAACCCATGAACCAGGAGGTCACGGTTCAATTCTCAATCAGGTCACATGTCCGGATTGTGGACTTGATCCCCAGGAGGGGGCGTGCATGAGGCACCTGGTCAATGAGTCTCTCTCATTGATGTTTCTATCTCTCTCTCCCTCTCCCTTCCTCTATCTGAAGTCAATAAAAACATATTAAAAATTAATTGAACTGAAAATTTGGGAGGAGGCAGTCAGTTCAACTGTGTAGAACATTTGGAAGCTTTAGCAGGGCTCAGAAAAGATGGTGCAGTGGCCACAGAAGCAGCAGGCACCTGACCCAGAATGAGATGGGCAGCTTGAAACAGAGAGTAGGCTGGCCTGGGGATGAGTGGGCCAGGGAGGTTCTGAGCCTGAGTAATAAGGATGGGAAAAACAGGCTCATGCAAGTCATGGTCCAGCTGTAGGTACAGCTTCACCAGACCCAGCAACTCAATAAAAGGATGCAGATGATACATAGAGTAGGGATAGTGACCAGGGAGATAGGGCATGGGGTCAGGGTGAGGTTGTCCACCTGAGGTTGGAGTCTGGAAATCTGCAAAAACATAGCCTGGAAAGTGACTGTTAGAAAACCTATAATTTTGTCAAAATCCAGCTATCACTAGTTAGACAGCAATGGTGAAAGACACT